ACCTCCGCCTTCAAAGGGCCTTTTCGATTTCAAACATTTGATCCTGTTATCTTAGTTTATTTAAGCATCCGAGGAAAATTATTCCCCTCGTGTACTTAAAATGCTTGCTAATAAATGGATGGGGTGTTCTTTGAGGTTCTCTTTGCTTTCTGTCTAACATTTTTAATAGAATTTAAAGTAGCACATAAACTATCATTGGGGGGAAGGTGGCATTTTTTCTGTACACCATATTTTTAAAATATTGATATTAGACATTACAGTAGGGAAATTTAGAAAAGTTGGCAGTAGGGCACATCAGTCTCTTTAGAGCACGTTGAGAGCAAAGCTGTCTCACTTTGCCCACGTCATAGACTATATTGGACATTTACCATGTAGATGAAACCAGTTGAGCAGAAATAGCTTCTGTCAGGTGGGTGTTGTCACACTGTGAGAGAGCTCAGATGCTGCCACACATTCCTTGAGGTCAGCAGTTTGAAGCCCCCAGCTGCACTGAGGGAGAAGGATGAGACTTTCTACTCCCAGAAAGAGTCTGTCTTGGAAACCTGCAGGAACAGTTAGTTGGACCCGGCCCGAGAGGTTCTCAATGAGTCAGAATCAAATCAGTGGCAGTAAGTTTGACTTACTTTCCTTCACCCTTTTCTATGGTCAGGATAAAGCAAAACCCAACCCCAGCCAGCCAAGTCATCCCGACTCCCATCCACACGATGGGGCAGCGTAGACCTGCGCGTAGGCTTTCTGAGACCTAAGCGTTTCCCGGAGCAGAATGCCTCCCGTTTCTCGCATGGAGCAGGGTGGCTGGCGACTGGCCTTGTCGAGAACAGCCCATCTCAGAATGCACTGTTTGTGTCTACTAACTCCTAATTCTTTCTTTTTTAATTTATATTTTTTAATCATTTTATTAGGGCTAGTACAACTCATCACAATCCACACATACATCAGTTGTGTAAAGCACATCATTCTCAAAACTCTCGCTTTCCACTTGGGCTCCTGGAATCAGCTCCTCATTTTTCTTTCTTTTTTTTCCCCCCACCTCCCTCCCCGCTCTCCCCTCCCTCATGAGCCCTTGATAATTTATAAATTACTATTTTATCATAGCTTACACTGCCTGGCGTCTCCCTTCACCCACTTTTCTGTTGCCCACTCCCCAGGGAGGAGGTTATATGTAGATCCTTGTAATCAGTTCCCCCTTTCTAACCCCCCTTCCCTCTTCCCTCCCGGTATGGCCACTCTCACCACTGGTCCTGAGGGGTTCATCTGTCCTGGATTCCTTGTGCTTCCAGTTCCCATCTACACCACTATGCATCCTCTGGTCTAACCAGGTTTGCAAGATAGAATTGGGATCATGATTTTGGGGCGGGGGTGTGTGTGAGCGTTTAAGAACTAGAGGAAGGTTGTGGCTTTCTTCAATGCTACACTGCACCCTGAGTGACTCATCTCCTCCCCACTACCCCTCTGCAAGGGATGTCCAGTTGTCTACAGATGGGCATTGGGTCCCCATCGCGCACTCCCCTCATTCACAATGATGTGGATTCCCCCCACCCCTTTGGTGCTTGATACCTGGTCCCCTCGACCCTTCATGATCACACATGCTGGTGTGATTCTTCCTTGTGGGCTTTGTTGCTTCTGGACTAGATGGCCGCTTATTTACCTTCTCTTTCTTTTTTTAATTGTTTGGGTCCTGGTCCAAACTAGCCACAGCCCATACATAGCGCTTGATATCTGTCAGCTCTGATCTCTGCCTTGGGGTTGGAAGTCGCTGCTGCATAGTCCACCACACCCCAGGGCTCCTCTCACATCTCTTCTTAGTCACAGGTTCCACCTCCCTCTTCTATTTCCCTCTGATGTATTTGACGACAGAAACTCAGCTGCTGCTTCATATATCTTGTACAACTTGTCGGTTTGAATTTTCCTGCCTGGGCAGTAGCGAGCTCTACATTTCCTCCTGCCAGCTGCTGGAGACACGGTATTTGAGTTGTCTCCTTGAGATGCTGAGGTCCATCTCTGGGTTCAGTTGTTGTCAGCCTGATCCATCTATTATAAAACCCTCCGTCACCCTTTCACACAATCATTTTAGCAGTCATTGATGATTACCGCCTAGGTCCATTATTATGGGTTATAAAACAGCTATATTCCAATTACATCATTTCCTCATTTATTAACTGGTATTTTCTACAAAGAAGAACATTCCCACATCAACTCTTGGGTTCCCCTGAAGAGTGGTTTGTACAGCACATGTAGAATAAGCCTTGATTCTTTCTCTGCGTTGCTGAGTTTCGGAATAAGGAGTTGGTTGTCTGGCACCATCCAAAGGTAACCATGAGTTTTGCTTTTTACATGATTAAGAGCTCTCGGGTTTCAACAGGTGAGGGGGTCAATCCATTGTAGTTATTCTCACCAGTGTTCAAACTGCCCCATCTTTGGTCTGGGTCAGGGGTATTCCTTCGACTTGGCTCCCGGGTCTCTTTTAACATAATCTGAGGAGTTTTGATAGCTTTCTTGCTTTCTGGTGATATTTTTCTGTACACTTCCTGGCCCACATGTGGAATCAGATGTTTTTCCAAGAAGCCTTGTTTCCTTTTACTGGGAAATGTTTCCTTAGCGATCCCTCTCTGGGGACTGGTTCTGCTCATTGCCGCCTGGTTGGCCATGGTTCCTAGTCTTCCTCAGTAGACAGAAGTGGAACCTAAGTATGGAGAAAATAAAAATACATCACAAGTTGAAATTATTTTCAGTTCAAATTTAGTTATAAGTTGGGTTTTTTTAAAATATCTTTTTACTAGTGATTATTCACTTTAGCTCATTATGCATATTTGATCATAAATACTATCTATTATAATAGTTAGAATTAGCTACTGCAGGGTGGTATGGTAGGTAAATATGAGGGTGAGTCAAAAAGGATTGCCAAGAGTTTTAGTTCATGTCTACATGCGTTTATTCCTAATAAAACACGTGTGAGTCGTGTTTCTGCAGTCAGCGATGGCTGCACTCATTGTCTGCCGGTAATAAGATTCTGCCTTTTGTCTCATTAGGGTGCCTTCAAAAACACTGGAGAGGATACTTTTTGTTTCATGAAAGTGGGGGGGGGGGGGCCTGTCCTGAGGCCAGGACTAATATAAATGTTTAAATAAACTCAACTCACTCTCTTCCCAAATCATTGAGGGTTTCCAAGACGTTTAAGGGAATGCTACCCCACATAAAATGATTGAATGGATCGCATATTTTACAGTAGCTGAGGATGCCAAAGATGAGTCACTATTGCTGAAGGCCAGAAACGATGCATGACCATTGATAAGCCATAGCTAACTGAAGCCCAGATCTGACAGGGTTTGACCTTTCCATTGTCGTTGAACTTCTTGGCCTCAGCAAGCTTTTAGCTGAATGGATCCAAGTGTGTCTCGTGAAGATCAGTTAGCTCAAGCTGCTGCTCTTTCCATTGGCCTTCTAAGCAAGATTGAAGCTAATGAAAGTGATTTCATAGAGTGACTTGTAGCCGGGGATTTAGCAGTGTGATCCAGACAGCAACCACCAGTCAGAACAGTGGCTTCTGAGCGGTCAACTCAGAAGGTGTAGTAGTGACAGTGTTTTGGAATTCCCAAGGGCTAACTAAGCTTGATAGACTTTTCTCGAGGGGTCCAGGATGATCATGAGGGCTTATGGGGAAGTTTTGTGAAAACCGCATTGGTGAGGAAAAGTCCAGGGAAGAATCCCTCCCACCCCCACCTCACACAACAATGCTTGTGCTCCTTCTTCAAACGTAGCAAGAGCTGTCCACAAGAATTTCTTGTGAACCCTTATCCTCTCCACCCCACAGCCCTGAGCCGATTCGAGGGGCCCAGGTTTGGACGTGGTGTAAATGGAAGTGCACAGAGTGCTTGGAAGAAGGGTTAGGGAGACGGAAGCACTGCTTCCACAATTGCAGACCTAACTAGAAAAGTAGCTTCACATTTTGTTATTTTTGTGTAATGATTTTGTGGAAATACTTTCTTATCTGCTTCATATGATACTATGGTAGTTAATTTGTTTCTTTCTGCTTTTAGTTTATGGAAATTGACTTGCTCATACAGGTTTATTTATATATAGATATATATACATGTATCAATATATACATTTACATGGTTCTAAAATCAAATCTACGTAACAGGATTCATTTGGAGAATCTAATTTCTTATACTATCCTTCCTACTTCATTTCTTCCCTCCCTTATAGGTAGTGCTTGTTTTTTTGTTTTGTTTTGTCTCCTCCATATTTCAATATAAGCAAATATGTACATTTCTTAAAAGCCCCCCTCACCAAAATAAATAAATAAACACCTGTGAGTGCCCCGAGTCACTGAGAAGATTGCTACAACAGATGGTGGTTGTGGTTATGTACACACCCTCTATGCAGGCAGCACTTCATTCATTGTCATTGAGTTGGCTTCAGCTCCTGGAGATCCCATGGACCACGGTAAGCAGCGTTGTCAAGTCAGCCCACGAGTGTCTGCAGCATCATCAGTGGGTTTGAGTCTGGCACTCTGCATGCCTTCCAACCAAGGGTGCTTGTGTTCTAGCACCGGGTCAGAAAAGATTTCATGGACAGCTATTTCCTTATTTTATTTTCAGAAGTCATTTTATTGGGGGCTCTGACGGCTCTTGTAACAATCCATACATCAGTTGTATCAAGCACATTTGTACATTTGACAACTTTTCAGAAATACGGCTCCAGGCCTTTCTTCCTAGGCTTAGTCTGGAACCTCCTCTGAAATGTCCCCATGGGCGATCCCCCTGCGACACACAGTGTGGTGAACTGACTGGAAGTATAGAACACCCACAGGCTATAGTGACATTTAATGTGAAGTCTTAATACGGAAACAAAGCCGGTGCCCTTTTGAGAAAAGCACTAATAGCTTCCTACTTACTGAGGTTTCACCTGCTGGGCTTGGGAAGCTGAGGGGAGAAAGATATGTTTCTTTTAGGGGATAGCTTTGCCATAAAAGGCCCTGTTGCTGTATTGTTTTTCAGGAACTATATCCTGCATTTTGCATTCACAACGGCGGCTCTGACCTGGAGCGGCTCCCCACTGCCAGTACCTGCATGAACCTGCTAAAGCTCCCCGAGTTCTATGATGAGACTCTCTTACGAAGCAAACTTCTCTACGCCATTGAATGTGCTGCTGGGTTTGAACTGAGCTGAGCTGCAGCTGATGTTGAACCTGACACTCTACAGAGGAATGACCGGTGCCTCGTACGTGAGCAGCACCTCCGCCAGACCAGCAGGCCCCTCGGCTGGACGCCGCCACGCTCCTTTCTGACAGACGCCCTCTTACACTGTCCTCTCCCACCCTGCTCTCCACCGTTTCTCCCTTCCTGAAGTTTTAAAAATGATTTTTCTTAAGCCATGGTCATTCAAGTAGATTGACACTGCTTCTCAAATAACTTAACGTAAAAAAATTATATATACATATATTATGTGCCACGTGGCTGATTTAGTCATTTTGCCAAGAAGAGCACAGTTTTAAGACTAGTGGCAATTCAGTAAAATTAACCAAAGATGAAGCTTTGGCTTTGTGCTGATCCAATCGTAAACACCTCCCTGAGCTGGCTGTCCACCGGGCCAGTGCAGCACGTTGCTTCCAGGGTCAACAATGGGCTCCATGGGCTACTGAGAAATGCTTGTTGAGACACAGGGTCAGAGGCGTCGAGAAGGCCCACTTCCGGTGCCCCCCCCCCCCCAATACTTCTCATGTGGTTGAATTGTTTACAAGCCTACTTGTTAAAAACTAAAGGCATCATGTTCCCTGCTGCCTTTTCCCAAAGTGGTCATAGTTGAAAAAGAGGTAACGATGCTAATCTATTAGTTGTGTGTTTTAAGCCATTTCCCACACACGGGACTTAGCATGCTTATTTGAAATATAACATTGACCGCATCATGATGATTGTGATAGAGCTTCGCGTGAATGAGAGGCATAGACCTCACTCGCTGTTGGAAGGCTGTCTCATAGCTGTCGAGCTTTGGGGAGAGGGGCGGGCAAGACTCTCCAGTTCCTAAGGCAGATGTGTTGCCCTCCGTAAAGAATGCCTTTGGAGGAGAAATACAGTGTACCATCTACTGAAGTCACTTGAACCAAAGTAGCGGGCTTTATCCTCTGTATCTGAAGCCTGCTGTGGCCAGATATTTTCCATGGTTTCGCTCACCTCCCTATCCCTTGGGGCCGGGCAGGACAGCACCCTAGTCGTCCTGGCGTTGAGTTGCCGTGCGTTTGCACCCGCTGGTCCGCTTCCTGGAGGGGTGCTGCATGTTTTTCCAGGGAAGAAGGAACATTCACTAAGTCTCGAGTTGTAAGGCACTTTATCTGGACCTGATGTGTGATGTTCTGTGATGTCTGTCGCTCTAAATGGAAAGTACTTCAAAACTCCAGAGAAGAAAGCGGAATGACCCTTTGTTGATGTTGGGGGAGAGGAAGCTAAACTGTTCTCATCTCCCCCATGCCGGAGGCTCTGTTGGATGTCCTCTTTAATCAACCATAATTAGCAATATCTGGGACTTCTAAATGCAGGAAAACTGAATGACACTTTTAAGACAATGACCATTATCAAAACACAAATGTATAATTTCTTAATTTGGATAATAAATTAAGTGTTCAAATGCTATTTGTAGTCTTGATATACAGAAATAAAATAACTAGGGTTTTATCTTTGGTTTTGTTTTTATCTTAGGTGATTTTATGTTGAATGTTCTATATCTTCTTTACTTAACTAGTTAATTTGTATATTTTATTATCAGTATTTTGGAATATTTGGGCTGCAGAAAAATTGGCCATACCACTTTAGTTTCTTTATCTCGGCTACTCTGATCTTATTTATTTGTATGTTCCATTGGCTAAATATTTGCATTAAAATGTTTTTTTCCAAGATGGTGTTGGAGTCGTACCCGCAGTCACTGTGGCTAGTGAAGCTCTTCCTCAGTGAAACCGCGGCTTTCCAGTGGCACCTAGTTTTCTCGCAGGTATTTAAGATGCCGCTTGTCAATACAAAATAGCAATATTTAAAATCATATATGCTATGGATTAGTGCCTACCTTCTGAAATCATCTTTACTGAAAAATACAGTACGAGGGAGAAGTGGTGTACTAGGTGAACCTATCACATGAGCGTCTCCAGCCTGCAGAGCTCTGTGAAGACGTCCCCGGGGCAGGGCCTTAGCAGTCAGGCCCCCACTAAGGAAGCCATCAGAGCTCTAGCTGGGGTCAGCTTTACGTTATGTAGAAAAACTATACCAGAAGGTGCTACTCCTTTTATCAATACTTTGATTTTTATCCACATTATGATCTGCTTTCTGCTGGTGATTTTGTGCCACTTCTCCCATTACCACCCCACCCCGTGTCCTTAGAAGTGAGCGCAGGAAGAAAGCATTCCGAACTCCAGTGTTCCAACAGCCTTAGAGCTGCTAAGACACATGAGACGAGTTTATTCAGAAGTGGAGTGTGGGCTTCTACAGATCACCACTCGGTGCGGATGCCGACAACGAGCCATGTCGTCCCTAGCAGGCCTGGGCACACACACACACACAGTGGGTTGGCCCCCAGACGCTTAGAAATGCCCGGGAGATCTGGAGTACAGGCAGGAGTAAATGAAGTGGATTCATCAAGGAAACTTCCTGGAGGAAATGAGTTGTGAAGTTTAAATTTTTAATATTTAAGGTGCCTCATGTTACAGAAAGACAACCGACAGGATAGAGTAATGCAAATAAAATAGGAATTCCGGGCTTAGAATAAGATCCTAAAATAAGCTAACCAAGGCTATTGTTTGTCTGGTTTCTTACAACTAAGGCACACATACACACACACCAAAAAAAAAATACAAAAAAGTTTAAACAGTCAATTCTTTCAAGTTACAGTTCACAAAGCATGATAATTAGCCTAATAGTCTATGCAAAATAACACAGCCACCAAATAACAGATTTCCTGTGGCATTTTTATTTACTTAATTGGGAGTAACTATATGTACTCCCAAGCAAAGAGTGAGTACTTAAGCTCTTTATTTTGGCATGCCTGTCAACATCCCCATTGGTGCTGATGGGTAAGCATTGGGACTACCAAATACAAGTTTGGAGGCTCACATCCTCCAACTGCTCCATGGTTATCTGCTCACATTAAGGTCAACTGCCTCGGAAACCATATATAAGGGTCACTGTAAGTTGTAATCAACTTGCTGACGGTGGCACTTGGGGGCTTCTGGGTTGAGAAAGTCATCTAGGGCATTAGTGGTGCATGATGTTGATGGGGTACTGCTAAAGATAGAGCCTCCTGGGGGATCTGTGGATCCATTCACCTCTCTCCTTCCAGAAAACTTCCAATGGCAAATTCTTAAGCCTAAGTACTTTTTGCTTCATGTTACATATCTGTGAAATGGGCACAATGTTTCACGGGAATGTTTGGGTTTTTTTAATAATCATTTTATTGGGGGCTCATGCAACTCGTATCACAATCCATACATCCATCCATTGTGTCAAGCACGTTTGTATATTTGTTGCCATTAGCATTCTCAAACAATTTTCTTTCTACTTGAGCCCTTGGTATCAACTCCTCCTCCACCCTCCACCCTGTCCACCCCCCACGAACCCTTTATAATTTATAAATTATTATTATTTTGTCATGTCTTACACTG